CTCTTACCTCTTGCGTTTGCATCAAGCTCGGTCTTCTGTGTCTGTGGGTCCGCGCCTTCCCGAGACTGGAGTTGGGGTCTCCTTTTTGGGATCCTACAATTTCAGAGCAATAGAAAGAGATTCTAAGCCCTCCTTCCACAATTTACAAGTTAATAAAATAGTTACATTCAGGGGTTTCCTTGACTCAAAAGCATCACATTGATTTGCAAAACATCAACAAAAAGACCTCAGGAGATGCTCATGTTTACAGAGGAAAACTTTGTATAGATATCTTTAGGTTGGCTTTTAAGAATAGGAATATAGACATGCTGTGGAATCAAAGAGGCATCAAAAAGAAACTGGCTATTCTATGATTTGTATAGGCTTTTCAATAATAGCTGTCTACCTGAAGCCTCAAAAATGGACATAGTATGGTGAAGTTTCTAAACTCAGAGAATGTGAGAGAAATAAAAAAGAAAGAATGGAAAGAAAATGGTTTGAGTCTGAGCTAATGATGTGGTGTTCAGTTGCTACTCATTTGGTGAAAACAAACAAACTGTGGCCAGAAGGAATTGCGTCTACTCTAGCAAGTCCACGTACGTGTACCAGGATAAATCACCTGAATTGATTAGTCCAAGGCCAAAATGACTGCAGAGAGATATGTGTTCAGGAATAGATATTTACACTTATAGAGGCATTAGAAATTTAGTCTAGATTTTTTTAAAAATCTGGAAGACTTTACAAGTCATTTCAATCTTAACCAGTATTTCTTATCTATGGGTTGGCGTCTTTTCCTAGAATAATGTTGTCATAGGTAAAATTTATAGAAATTCAAATCTTTGCTCTTTTGGAAGGTTGTGACAGGTTTTCTTTTTTATCATGTTGTTAGAATAATAGAGACTTTTTTTCCTGGGAAAATGAATACTATAAATAAGGTTTATATGGCACTGCCTAGCCTGCTTAAGACACGAAATTGTTTTAAATTCTCTCAAAAGTATTTTAGTTTGCCCATTTAAATATAATAGTTTGTTATTTATGAAATATATACATATATTTCCAGTTCTTTAAAATTCTTCTAAGATATCTACTTGCTAACAATTTCATTAGCTGATAGTCTCTTAAAATACAGAATTGAAACTGGCAAAATGTATTTGTTGCATATTTTTTAGACTGGATTGAATTAGTGCATTATTATCAAAAAAGTTATATAATGACAATATTAAGGATAATTTTGAAAAAAAAGTCAACCATAATTCCAAATAATATCCCTGATGATTGAGTTACATCTTAAATTATTAGAGTATTTTCACTTCCTGTTCTCTAGGAGATCTTTGCACAATTTATTTTCATCATTCAGGTATCAGGGCAAAGGTTTCAATGTTCGTAGAATTTACTTCCATCCTATCTAAAGAATTAATCCCTATTCTTACTACATATCCCCTTTCACTATCATACTTCCTGATATTTCTTCTTTTTTGTTTTTCTTTATAACATCTTTAACAAATGTAAAATTATTATGGTTTTATGATTACTATTTCCTCAGACGATACTATCACCATGGGAGTAGGAAGCTTATTTATGTGTTTCCAAATACAGTAATAGGAATAATGTCTGTCCTGTAGTAAGTAGTAAATAAATAAATTGTTGAATGAGTGAATAAAGGAAATCAGGAAGGCTATTGTTAATTAAGGCGTGATGCCAAAGGTATATTTTAGCAGTCTTTTGTACAGAAGACTAAAATCCTCAGATTTTCAATTAATAGAAAATATGTACACTCCTAGGACAATTCTTAGAAAACATTCATCTTCCTCCCTGGGGCAGGAATAATTAATTCTTTTTTACTGTTGAATAATACCCCATTGTATGAATATGCTGCAATCTGTTAAACCATTCTCTTATTGATGGCCATTTGGCATGTTTCCAGTTTGAGATTATTGTGAATAAGGTTGCTATGAACATACATTTACAAGTTTTTTTATGGGCGTTTCATTTGGAAGATTAAATACCAAGAAGTGGAATGCTGGGTTATAGAGTGGTATCTCCTCAACTTTATAAGAAACTGCCATATGTTTATCTGAAATAATTGCACCATCTTACACTTCCTGCAAAGTACGCAAGTTCCGGTTGCTCTGCATCCTCATCAGTACTTGTCTCTGTATGATTTCTTTATCCAGCCGTTCCTGTGGGTGTGAACTGTTATCTCCTAACGAAATGACATCTGTCAGGTGAATAATGACGTGGAGTTATCTTTTCATGTGTGTGTTGTTCATTTTTATATGTATTTATTGGGAAGTATCTGCTCAAATACTTTTCCTATTGTAATTAGGTTATTTGCTTTTCTGTTACTAATTTATACAGGTTTTTATATATTTTGGATGCAAAGCCTTTATCAGATACAGTCATATGTTGCTTAACGAAGAGGATACAGTCATATGTTGCTTAACGAAGAGGATACGTTCTGAAAAATGCTTAGTTAAGTGATTTCATCATTGTGCAAACATCATAGAGAGTACTTACACAAACCTAGATGGTATAGCCTAATACACACCTAGGCTATATGGTACTAATCTTATGGAGCCACTGCTGTGTATGCAGTCCGTCGTTGATCGAAACATCCTTTTGTGGTGCATGATTGTATACGTACTGAGAATAGAATATTTTCTCTCAGTCTTTGGGCTGCCTGCTCATTTTTGTTATTGTGTCTTTTTGTGGAGTGATATATTCAGTTTTTTTTTTTTTTTTTTTTTTTTTTTTT